CAAGAAGGGTAATCATGACATTCTTCCCTTCATCGGCTCTTGTGCCCGTCACCGTCATCACTACCGCCAACCTTACTGCCGACTAAAAACAGTCCAAAAAGAACTGCAACCGCTGATTAATCTTTACGATCATCAACATCATCGCCACAATCATTGCCGTCATAATAATCGTCATGTTATTCATAATTAACAACATAGGCAGCAACCAAACAACACAAACAATACAAACGCTAAGATCACCGATCTTCTTTACGCAACGGTAACATCATCGGCGCCACCAACATCAAGGCACTGAAAAAAAATAGTTTATATACTGCACGATTATGCCTAACCGACTAAATCTCAATAAACCCTACATTTTTGACGAGTTCTTTTGGAAATCTTTCAGACGCACGTCCATTTCAGTGCAACATGACAGTTACCTTCTGGTTAACTTCTTACAGTGTCCCGACGACATCAAATTCGCGGTCGACCACAAGCAAAGATATTTACGCCATTCCATATCCCTTAGATACAGTGCCGTTAATAAAATACTGGTTTTTGCAGATATCTTCTTTCTCGGCAATGCAAAAAACACTAGCGCTAAAATCACGGATATTATCAATGCAAAGGCAAGATCCTCAACGCCACAAAAACCAATACACTAGGACGACAAATGCACCCGTTAATTGCACGATTATGTATTACTGCCTAATTATCAGTAACCACTATATTGTACACTTGTGAAAACATGCTTATCTTACATGTCCGCTGTCATCACACTATTGGACATCACGATTATACATACGTAGATAGGATTCCTCCAGGAGATGCAATAACAGCGTAGGAACAATGCCATGGTGCACTGCGGTGATTGAAATGCCTATGTCAATCTAACAGTAAGGAACTACGCTCACTCAGAGAAGAGGCCGACTTGTTGAATGCCTGAGAAGGAATGAGGCGGGATTTTGGTATGACTCATGAATGGATAGGATGCAAGCCAATACAACCAAGCTCAGCAAAATGACTGGCCCGTGCGAATTTTATGTAGAAACAGCAGGACAGACTGCCGAAGACACCTGTCGTCGACAGTCAATTAGAGCATTCTTTGCCAGCCTTCCGACTGCCGTTTATCTACGCACAATATGGGCATCAGAGGATGCATTTGGGGCATGGCTGAGACTGCCGCTGGTATGATCTCAGACAGTGTACACACCATGACTTTAAAAATGGCATTGTTAAATAGATTACAACAATATCCCACGTGAGACCGACAGATTAGTCGGAAATGATTTGATGGATAGGATAATTGAGAAATTAATTGTACCCAGACGAGGCCACGTCATCATAGCACTGATTGTACTTAACATCCATATCTAGCAGTGGAAACGGTCTTTGCATTCGGTCAAGGCTCAGTACAAATAGCGACTGCAACTTCTAGTGGAAATATAGGAGACTTTTGTAGGCATGATCAAGACAAGGGATCCTAGTTCAGGCAGTGTCAAAAGGCGGATCGCCGGTCGGGGCAAGTATTTAGGAATGAGGATCTCAACGAAGTAGCCCAAACCGTTTGCCGGCGACGGGTGCGAACTTGCTAGCGCACATGAATATTCGCTCGCGATTCGGGTGTGTCGATGCGCGTCGAAGGTGTGCTGCGCGTCAGTCATGCACGCCTACAAGTGCTATTCCAGTGGCGAACTGCTTACAGTCGACTAGAGCTACAGTGGATGCGGCTCGCGTATGCATTATGGCCAACTGCAACGACTGAAATCACCGGAGGGTACGCCCGAACATGCAGGGGATTGATCCTCCTGAATAATAAAACGCGTATTAATTAATTTTCAGAACAGCACGACACTATTTGAAGGAGTCCTTGCATTCAGACAACAATAGTCCGGTCAGCTTTTGCTTCCTGCTTTGGTCGCACTGATTCACCTGTGTTCATTTGCCTCATTCCTCTTCAGGTTGGATTTGCTCACAGCCCGGAGGCTCCCATAAGGCGTCAGGTGATGCGACAAAAGACCCACTGCTACGCCAAGCAACATCTGATGTTGTTTACCGTATCTGGCGCAGTTGCGTGCGAAGTAAGTTTGTCGAATAAACTGGAAGACTACTCCGGACGCGAATATCCGGATACGCGGCAACGGTGCGGAGAAATGACGCCAACTCTCAGGTCGCAGCCCATTCCACCCGACCCGTCCACTAATCGAAGTTCGATTATGCCGAAATTCCCGTGATATGTGATAATCGCGTGAGCCACGATTCGCTTGAGTCGTTGTTCACGGGGCCTCCGGTCTATCAACATGTTCAATGACATCCCGACTCCATACTCGGATCTGAGGCCTAGTTTGGCCAAAGTAATTAAGCACTCGGAGGGCGCGCAGGCCGGTGAGTCCGATGGCCGAGCCATCATTACACCAGCATCCAACACGGGTGATGGTATTTCAGCAATAACAGCTTGCATGCCGGCCATCAAGCAATTATCGCACCAGCGGGCAGCCATCCTTCATGAAGGGAGCGCGGTTAATTGCTAGAGGTGTTCGGTAGCCTAGCGACTGCATCCTGTAACAACTGCGATTTCCTGTGCACGAGTCATCCTTTTCTGTCATTGTCTCTGATGATGGCTTCAAGTGGGAATCCGAAACGTCCGCCGAGTGAAACCCTTGCTCCAGCGATCACTTCTACTTCATATCAATTGTGAACGACGCTAGCGTGGCTACCGTCAACACCGCCAATATCTCTGCCATCTTAGACATCGATATCACCATCGGCAGTAACAGTCTGCACACATTACCAACACATTAACCGCCAACACCGTCACCAGTACGATAAGCATAAACGCTACTTTGCAGTGTTGACCGCCCGGCCAGATGTTCATGGCCGGTTTCGTTAAATTCTACTGAAGGCCCTCATACTCCCATTCAGGGAGAGAAAGCATGCTCAGCTCTGTCATTTAGACGCGAGTGCGGTAAACAAGTCTGATGTGTTATACACGCAACCGTCTCCCCAGAGAGGAGCTGTTCACCTGTGTTGCTGAGGTAAGACCAGACGCCGGCACACGTTTTGGACTACTTCGTGACTACAATTACTTATCATGGATACTGATAGGCCCTACCGGCAACCCGGCCTTCTTGCTGCACTGGCCGTACCAGACTGAATTTTGTGGCTGGCATTCCTTGCCGTCGTCCTTATTGTGGGAAATTGCTGAGGAGAACTCTAATTTCCGTAGCTGAAGTGAGGTCTGATAAGGTGTCACGCAAATGAGATTGCCAGCATACTTTTTCAAGTCTCTTTGATTTCCACAGACACTGCCCCCACCCAACCCCCTCCCTCCTTGACGTGGCCTCACTGTGAAAGTTGGCCAGGGACAGAATTCGTTTCCGTTAACATCCCCAACCAACTTCCCTCCATAGTGAAAGTAGTTCGACGCGACGAGGAGGG